CCCAGATAACAGTAGCCCAGACACTCAGGTGCTCCACAGTAGGCTAGTAGAGATTCAGCCTCTTGAGGGGCCTATAAAAGCTTATAAGCAGCAATTTCTGCTTAAGGAGATAATGTCCACAGACATTGCTTTAAAGTCCTCAAAGAGAAATATAGCCTTGCTATCAAAAGCAGTAAACTATTAAAATAAGGCTAGAACAATTTGAATATCAAATTTACTTTAAGAAAAAGCTTACGTACCATCCTCAATAGTACTCAGAGACAATGACCCCAACATTCATACTTGAAAAAATAAAAAATAAAAAACACTAACCAAAATACGAATCTGTGTATCTATTTGAGTATGTCATCATTGAATTGGAATATCAAGGATATTAAAAACCTCCAAAAATGACAAACAAATCAAAACAGATATACAACAGGAATTCTGAGAGGTAACACTAACATCTGCAAATGTCTGTGTGTTAATGTATTGGTTGCCAGGGTGGCAGGATCAGGAGGAAGTGCAAACTCTATGAAATGAGGCCTTGTGGGTGATCTCTCAGTGAAAGGCATGACCTTAAAGGATTTCTGGCGTCCTAGCATCTTCCTAATTCTTTGCCTTTTTGTTATGGCATTAGCAGTTTGTGCTACCTTCTCCATCAGGTACTGCCTCGTTAAAGGTTGAAAGTGATGAAATCCTTTCATTATGGACTTAAACGAAAAACCTTTTAGCTAAAATAAACTTTAATAAATTAATTAACACAAGTAATGAAATCTTGCTCTAATAGTTCAGGCCATTTTTGTCTCTGTTGGATCTATCAAAGTATAAGGGCCTACAAAAGGAACAGAGACATTAATATAGTCTAACTACACTTCAGGAAATGGAGTCTTACAGGAGAATCCTGCATAAAGTAGTCACCAAAGAAGAATGTATCTTAGAGTTAAGGATAAGCTAGATATAAACTGATTCCACTGAAAGAGATGGCTCAAGATAGAGGAGGGAAAAAGAACTCAAATAATCTACAACATTTGTCCATTCACTACTTAGATAGAAGAAATGCCTCTAGGTGAGGAATTATTTTATAGTAGTGTCCAGTTGGTAGAGATGATTGAAGAAATGCAGAAGCTGTCAAGATGCATTATCCTTTAATTCAGACCTTTAAAAGTCCTGAAAAGTATTAAAGAAGAACTAAGAACCCAAACAAAAATCACCAAATGCATACAAAGTCCTTTGGTAAGAAAAAGACACAGAGAACAGAGAATAAACTCATGTTTAGAAAGACTACTAAAGACAAAATATAGTATTGGAATACATTAGCAAAAATGACATATCTCTGAGAAAATCAATAAGGACAAAATAGCAAAATCAATATTAGGTATATTTTTAGATATTATATAAATTTTAAAATGTGGCAATATATGAAGAATAATGGAGGTTAAAAAACCTTGAAATTCAGGCAAGGTAGAAAAATGCAATTTTTTTTACTCTTTTAAGTTTGTATTTCTGTATCTCACAGGAGTACTTTGTCAACAAAACATCTGTGCAGCAGCCCATTGTTAACAGTAAGATATAACTTCTCATTATACCACCACCACTGCTGTAATAGTATTATTTTTTGAGACAAAAGTTTCAATATGTAATCCAAGCTGGCCAAGAATTCATGAGCTAGTCCACACTGACCTTGAATCTCTTGATTATCTTTCTTACTCAGGTTCCCTTATGTTGGGATTAAAGACAGACACTATGGAAACTGAATAAAAGTATGATTAAAAAGGTGAAAGTTGATATTAAGAAAACATTTTAAAAGTATTAATTGCCTTATGGCAATTAAAAATTACACTACTTGCTTTAGTTCTTCTAGTCAATCAATTTATCAAGACCAACTGGTTTTCACTGAGTTTGAAATATTAAGGAATAATACAGTTTTTGAATATATAGCTTTTCAGAAAACTTTTTAATCAATTAAAAATTTTTATTTATTGTACATCCCAATCACAGTTTCCCCTCCCTCTTCTCCTCCTGTCTCCCTCCTATCACCCTAACCCTCCATCCACTCCTCCATCTCCCTTCAGATAGGAGCAAAGCACAAATGGAAGTCAACAAAGCCTGGCACATCATGCTCAGGCAGAAACAAACTCCTGCCCCTGCATCAAGGCTAGGCCAGGCAACCCAGCATGGGGAACAGGTTCCCAACAGCCAGTTTAAATGCCAGGGACAAGTGCTAATCCCACTGCTAGAAGCTCAAAAAACAGAGGAAGCTACACAACTGCCACACACACGCATGGGGTCTTGGTCAATCCTGTGCAGGCTCCCTAGCTGTTGGGCCAGACTCCCTGAGCTTCTTGGAGTTCAGGTCAGCTGTCTCTGTGGGTTCTTTCATCATGACCTTGACCCTCCTCCCTTTTTCAGCAGAACTGCCATAACCAGAACCAGTGCTTGACTGTGATCTCAATATCTGCTTCCATCAGCTAACTGGATGACACTCTCTGGTGACAATTAGGGTAGTCACCAATCTGAGTACAATAGATGACCAGTTCAGGAACCCTCTCCACTATTCCTAGCAGTCTTAGTTAAAGTTATCCTTGTGGATGCCTGGGAGTTTCCTTAGCGCCATGTTTCTCCCTAACCCCCAAATATCCCACCCCCATCACAAAATCTCTTTCTTTACTCCCCTCCTGCATCTTGCCCCCAACCCTCCCAACTGGATCCCTAAAGCATCCCCCCATGCTTCCCCACCCCTGACTGCCCCCAGTTTACCCAGAAAATCTCTTTTCTTTTATTTCATAATGCTTTTAATTTTAAGAAATGGCTAACAGTACATGAACATTGGTGTTAGGCCAGAGTGATAAATATCAACCTGAACTATCACAACACCAAAAGACAGTGCAATCCAAAATAAAAGTAACACAAACTTGCTACTTATAGAAAATAAGGAAGTATTAAAAGTATCAGCTCATGGTCAAAGAGTAATTTCCCTGAAAATGGGAACACAAGCAAGAAGTATGGTTTACTCTATGTGTGATTAAAGTTAGGGTTGTATCATATCACTGATCATAATACATATGTGTATGTATACAAGTATATTTTTCATTGCAAGAAAAGACTAATACATTATTAGTAAGGAAAGTTTGAAATTTTGAAACTAATTAAATATGAAAGGTTCTAATTTGTACAAAGCCTAAGAAATGCTATTGATAACAGGAGTTTCAGTTACAAGATGACTATCAGAAGCTAAGCAGACTAGTTATATTAGGTCTGCCATAGAAAATGTACTGGTAAATATTAATGTTTTAGTTATGCTTTATTGTTTTCATAACGAACATAGATATTGATGAGACCAACCTCAACTAACTGTATTGTAATTGGTTTGGCAAATACACGCCCTGAATTACAAATAAGATTGTAAATTCTTTGTTGTAGATATACTATGTGTCCAAATTCTTCCCTTCCAAAGGTCTAAGTCAAAGTCTTAGCAAAAGCCCATGTGCAGGGCCATTTGAGAAATGATTGTTCAGTGTATCTAGAACTTCTAAATAAAACTGGGCAAAAATGTAATCATTTAAACCAATACACGCTTGCTTGCTCAAACCCACACTGGTTCTGTAAATATCCTGACTAACTCTAAATCTATGCAATGTCTTTATACTTTATACTTTAAAAGTTTGTTTAGCTGCTCAGAATCTTAACTATATATTGCATTTGAAATTGGTATATAATACTAAAAAATAGAAAGCATCTATAACAAAGCATTCATTAAAAAAAATTTCCTAATTCACACTAAATTCAAATACCCTAACAAACTGACATTGATAAGGAGATTTTTAAAGGCAAATCTCAAACGTCAATAATATTGAATTTGATATATATGTGAAGATGATACTAGATTACGGTGGAATGCTTCTTATATTCTCTCTTTTTCTTACCTCATTTCTGTCTCCATCAATTATTGAGATGTAGTTAGGATGAGTCTCATTTGGGTAAGACAGCAGCACATCATAATGGGACAACTCAACCGAATCCAGGCCAAATTCTTTCCACTGGGCATAAATTTGCTTTGCAAGCTCAAAATTGTGTTCTGTTCCAGCCAAATGTGGTGTGCGTGTGAAATTACTGTTGAAGAAACATTGAAAATGTTTAAACATTAATGTTTATTTTGTTTTAATCTCCAATAAGCAACAATACAAAACTACTATTATCATGCCTATAATGCAGAATATAGTGGAGTAAATATAATCTGCAGAGATTTTTTTCATAAAGAAGTTTAAGTCCCAGCCTCTCATTCAACAGTGCCCTTCTGGGATCAGTAGAAGCAATGGTTTTAGTGGTTTTTAACTCCATTGTAATTGATATAGGCATAATGCAAATGCCTACGAATATAAAACTCAACCCATATGTGAATATTTAATGGTATTTTTATATCAAATCTCTTTGTATTCCTTAGGAAATCCTTCAACCATTAGGGGGATTTCAAACATTTTTGTCATATTATTTTGAATGCTGAAAACTATAAACCATTAGAAGTGGTTAGGTACACTAAATATACATTCACACATTTTATTTTTAACTAAGTATAAATTTAACTTTGTGAAAACTTTTAGCTTTTAATTTCTTGCATTGTTGAGGATCAAACCAGGGCCTTGTATATGTTCAGTGGTAGAGGTCTTGTCTAGAATGTGCAAGGTGCAATACTTTTAACTTTATTTATTTATCTCTTTTGCTTTAAACTATTTCAATAAGAATAGAATTTGTCTGTAAATTTTCAAAACATCTGTTTTCCAATTTCATCCTTATTACAGTATCTTTACCCTTATCTTCATAGATATGAGAATAAAAGCTTAAGAAGGTTCATTATTCACTCAGAGTTACTGCTCTATCAATGAGCCAAGATGGAGTTTGAACAACTGTGCCGTTTTAAAGTCAACTTTTCTTTGATTAAAACACACTATCTTTATTTAAAGGACGAGTCTGCAAAGTAAGTTCTTCAGTCCAAATCAGGTCACGATCTGTTTTCATACAATCCATAGGCAAAGAACAGCTTAGCATTTTAAGTAGTTGAGTAAACATGAAGGACTTTGCAATGCGTCAACATATAAGAATCAAATTTCAGTGTTCATGAGGACAATTTGATAGAAACTGGCACATGCAGTTAGTTGCCTCGTGCTTCCTATGGCTTCTTTTGTACTGCAGGAGCAAGATTAAGCAGTTGTGGCAGATATTGCTGGCTTGCAATGACTAGTCTTTTTACATGGAATGTTTGTTGACCTCACTCTGAAAGCTTTCTAATCATCTGCACTTAAAGTTAAAGCTGTACTACTCCCCTATGAAATGGAATACAAGATCTCCAATAAACAAAACATTGCAAAAAGCGAAATTTTTGTATATGAAATGCTGTAACAAACCATCTAAGCAGAACAATGTTTTTTTAATATAATGTCCAAATTTTAAGTATATGCTTACTATAAAAAGTTTTTGATGTTCTCAGCCTTCAATTCATGCAAAAATAACTTCTTCATGCCAGGATTGGGAACAATATCAGTAGATTCACTGGAAGCTTTTAAAAACCATCCTGAAAAATAGAAAGATATGAATGAGATATGACCTTAGGGTTGGGTCTTATTTTTATGTAAGACACAGTGAATTACCTTCTGTATTAGCTAGAATTTTGATGTTTTCTTTCCCTTGCTTGCTTCTATGTGGGAAAGAGCATATCAGTATATACTTTTTTAATTTCAAAGCAAGCACAATGTATTTTAACCAATTTTCAGTTTATGTGTATTGCTGTTACTTCTCAGAAAAGTCTAATAAGGAAATGTGATTTGGTAGTATTGTTCAAACTATTTTAGATAAGATATTTGAAAATGTATCTTTTTCTACATTAGCTTCTTTACCCATAATTGCTTGCTTTTCTATAGAGCTAGAATAGAATAAGCATTTAACAAATGATTATAATGAATTAATTATGAATACAGTGACTAGAGAGATTGCTCAGCAGTTAAGGGCATATATTGTGCTTGTAACCCAAGTTTGATTCCCAGCGCCAAGATCTGGCAGCTCACAATTATCTGTAACTTAAGCACCCAGGAAAGTAACTCCCCCTTCTTAACTCTGTGGACACCCTGTTCTCTCATCCTATACATGGACATTCCCACATATGTAAACATTTGCAGATAGTCAAAAGGAGAATCTTGATTATATTTCAAGTATTTAAATTATCTCAAAGTATTAAGTAAAACCCAAACATTTAATCTGCTTTGAATTTGAAACTAAAGCAAAATGTACTGACATTTTTGTTTCTCATTGAAACAGACTTGAGAACTCAAAGGTGGGAAACCACAATGAACTACAATGTACTCCATAGCTCTGTAAAAAATCCAATGCCCAGAAAGCCAGAGGCACTTTATAACCAGCTCCTTAGCCCCCCCCCCCCATGAGTCTATTTGAATCTGAAAGGAATAGGGCCATCGGCCATCGTTGCAGGGTTTGCTGACTACCTGATCGGAAAATACAGAAGGTTACCCAGACAGCCTTCATGGAACTGTTCATGTTTTTGATTACATATGCACAAATACAGAAGCACATAAGCAAGCACGTGAAGACACATGGATGGACCGAAAGGAATATATTATCCTTACTGTGTATAAAACTAAAGGACTGGAGATGAGTCTGAGATTGGGGAAGAACACCCTGAGGATGATAGATTAGAACCAAGGTCTGAAGAGAACTACATAGGAGGAAGATAGAGTTCTGTGGGGGAGACAGAACACACTAACAAACTCACTCATTGAGCAGTGAAACCAAGGATTACAGTGAGGGTAACAAAGTAGAAACAATAAATTTCCTTTAGGACACACAGACTTTTTGAATCCCCAGCTAGCCTTCCCAAGGCTCGTTTTTCACTTTTAAACTGAAATAATGGAAAATCAATTTAAGTCATCTTTCTGAGCAAATACCTCATTGAAGTCCCACGACAATCATAGGTGGTTACTGATATCTTTGTATTAGTTAAAATTAGAGGCTATGGATTAATGCTACCCAATTGGTTCATAGTCTGTTTTACAAATCCCGTGGAGGTTACTTCGAATTCAGAGCAAAGAAGGCCGACTTGAATGACATCTTAGACCGGCCTGTGTGCTAAATCAGTTACAAAGAAGACCTGAGCGTTGCTCTGGGACAGCTTCACATGCTGTTTCGTGTTCTATGATCTGGAAGTTGCTCATATTAGCCGCATCGTAAAGATAGAGAAGCTAAGGCTAAAAGAGGCGCAGTGACTTTTTCACAGCGAGAATGAGCGATGCATTTCTGAATGCATAAGTGTGTTAGCCTGTGTTGCTCAAGCTTCCTTACAGAGTTGGGCTCAATCTGAACTAAGCTCAAAGACCTGGTAAGAATATGTTGAGAAAGTGCTGACAGTAATTAACATTTCAGAATTTACCACTGTTAGGCCTAAAGAAGAATGCGAACTGAAAGGAACTCCTTTCAGAGCGACGCCCTGAATGCGGTGGTACCCCCAGAAACTGGCCCAGGAACGAGATAGATGAAATCCCAAGCAGGCAAAAGCAACCCCATGCCAATCCTGCTGATTGATCTGGATTAGTAGCCACCGGGGAACTCTTCTAAGAAGTGTAGCGCCTTGCAGGGTTCCAGTGCCTCAAACCTAGCTCGGTTCCACCTTTTTGTTTTTGTTGTTTAAATCTGACTTTAATCTATGCAGCGCAATCGTACAAGCAGTTTATTCAAAACTCAGTCTGGCACAGACGCTAGCAAATCACCGCTTAATTCATAGGGTTTGCTCCCTCCTCCTCCCACCGCCCCCAATCAGGACATTGGGGTAGACCCACAGCAGGATCACCTCTGGGTGCAGACAGAGCTGCAGAATAGAGAAGGGGAGGAAAGGGGGGTCGACGACTCGGGATTCTATGGTTTTCCCCGCAGATGCATCCTACCAAAGACAAAGCCAATGATGAAGGTTCCGGAGAAAGCCAGCACCAGTGTCCCGGCGCAGAGCCAGCGCTGGCGGCGTCCCGGATCCACCACAGAGTCGCTGTCCTGCAGCGGGTTCCACATCTTGGGAAACTGTGTGCTTCCTCGCCCTTCGGGTTCCTGTGGCCCCACAGCAGCGCCTCTGCTGGCCGAATTTTCCTCCCACTACTGCCCTGTGGAACAGAAGTTGTTCCCAAGACTTTCTCCTCCCCCATATATTTCTGTCCTACTCTGAACCAATTGTAGTTAAGCTAAGGGAGTGTTTACCTCCTAGAAGGAAAGCCTGACCTCTTTTGAGTGACACTTTGCGGTTCTCTTTAAAACTTTACAGACAGGCTATTTAGAGAGATAAACAACACCAGTAAGGAAAGATAATGTGCCAAATAGCCCAGCCTGTATTCAGAAAAGTATTAAGGTCTCCTTATTCTTGCTTAACGATCCGTATTAACCACAACAAACCTTGTTTGAGGAATGGGAGAGATTTCATCCTGAAAAGTCAACTTTTATACACATGAGTGTGTACTGGCCTTTCCCTAAGAACTTCTCTTTCTTTTAACTCTGTGCTTATGTCTAATTTAAATTATCGTCTTGATAAACCCCAACTCTCCTTAATATTTTTGACCTCCTAAATACACATACATACATACACACACACACACACACACACACACACACACACACACACACACACTATTTTTGGTTAGGTAGGTAAATTAAACTCTGACCTGAATATCATCATTCTTTTCGTAGTGAAGGAATAATAAATTTAAATAGAAACAATGAATAAAGAAAAGATGGTTTTATCAGCCCCTGGTCATCAGTACGCAGAGTACTCTACGAAAGTTCCCATAGATAAGGATTGTTCCTGGCAAATATTGGCAAACATTATGCATTTGAAATAGAGGTGAAAGAATCATACAGAGCTACTTTTGCTGACCAAGCATTAAGAAGTATAGATATCTTTAAAAAGTAATAAAAGCAGGGAGTGATGATGCACTCCTCTAATCCCAATACTAGGGAGGCAGAGCAGGCGGATCTTTGGGAGTTGGAGACCAGCCTCGTCTACAAGAGCCAGTTCCAGAATAGGACCCAAAGCTACAGAGAAACTTTGTCTAATAAATAAATAAATAAATAAATAAATGGATGAATAAATAAATAAATAAAATTAAAAGGTAATAAAACAAAATTGTGCAGGGTAAAGGCCAGGTAGGCAAGCACATGAGATGGTTTGCCCTGGGAATCAGTTTGGCCTTGGTTACATACAGCACACACCTTTTGTAATAATGCAATTGGTGTGCTAGTTCCTTCACATTCACGTAAAAAAAATGTACGCACAGTCCATTCAACCAATGCACACTGAAACCTCAGAACTCACTCAGCCCCTACCTGTAGCAAAACACATGTACTCATGTGTTTGAACAGTAAGTCTAGAATTTTTTGCTCCTAGTAACAATCATATTTAGACACTTTCTATTCAAGTATATTCCTAATGTACCTAATGTAACATGAAGGTTAGAAAAGTGGAGCCCGTTTAAGATGGTTTTGGAAGAATTTTCTGTAAAGCAGAATTAGTTCCTATAATAGCTTTTATAAAGGATACCATTTGTGTCTATGTGTAATTGGGTATGCATATAACTCAACTAAAATATATAGTAGAAAAATATATGACATTATCAATCAATCAAAATAGGAAACACTCAAACTACACGCCTTCCTACCTTCTTTGAGATTCCATGAAACAATGTAAGGGTATACATTCTGACCTTTGGGTATCCTCACTCAGATGGCCTACTGTCATTCTTGACAGTATAGAGTCAGTAATCTGAATAAAGTTATCTTGATTACTTCACAAACACACGTGAGATCTTATTTTCAGTATGTTGGATAGGAGACAAAGATCTGGAAATAAGTGGCCCAGACACTGACCACTGATAACAAAAATACAGAAATTTAATTTGGTGATTTTCACCTTCAACAGAAACAAGAGACAGTTCCATGCAGTAGCCCACAGCTTGTTAATTGGGTAGTAACTCTAAGTTCTCAACTGGTAAGAGACATAACCGTACTGTAGCATGAGGTGTTCTTTTCCCTTCTCTTCTTCCTATACTGTGTGCTGAGTATCCTGCCCCATGAGGAGATAAATCACACCCTCCTTTAACAGAAAGTATCTGCCTACTTATTTTATCTAGTGTGGGATCTAGTCTCATCACCAAACACTGGCAAGTAACTCACACATGTCCAAGACTTTATTTGCTCAAGCCTTCATGAGTTGGGTTTTCTGACTGTTGAGACTATAATGTTATATACACAACATTACTTAGTAGAAAATGCAATCCCCTTCTGGTCCTGCTTTGCACTGACTAACCGGAAATAAAAGGGGGGCAATTATATTAGCTAACCAGGATATGGGAGTTGGAAAATATGCTCTTCAGATGAAATGATTTAAAAGTCTTTTTGAAATGGAGTCTCACTCTCACTGTGTAGCTCTGACTGGTATGAACCTTACGGAGAAGCTCCGGAGAATCTCTGTCTCCTAATACTGATTAAAGTCATATGCTGCTGCATCTGGTCTTAAAATGATTTTTCTTCAATAAATCTTGGAATTAGGCTCGTAACAGGACTCGGAAGACTTAAAGACATAAAAGCATACTATTGTCAGAATAATCCTCAAAAATTCTGCTTTGGGTTCTTAATCTCCCAATTCGGAAACCACAATGGTTCCCAGTTAACGATTGGATGAGTATATCTTCTTGGACAACACACGAAAATTGTGTATATTTTAGGCTTTTCGCAGGAGTTCTCCCATTAACTGCCATGTACTTGGGTGCTGTTTCTTTACTGTTACTCATTCAATTCACTCATACAATAGGAATAATAATAGCTTCTGTCTAATACTGGTATCAGAGGCTTAGCACAGGATTCTGACCCCCTAGAAATGAATCTGGATGGAGCATGCTGCATCCTCCTCTTTCAAAAAAAAAATTACTATTTATCATCTATTTGTTCAAGTCTTTTCAAATTCAACTTCACATATGTATCTAGTAGTGGCCTTTGTTTAAAACCAACAAACTACATTATGTTCACCAACCTTGAATGAAACCAATTGTCTTGAGAACAATGAAGAAAAACATTCCAAACAACAAAATGAGATAGATAAACCAAATTCAAAGAGATGACATCAGTTGAAATAAAAATTAGGCTATAATTAGTTAAGGCAATGCATTATCCTCTGTGTGGTTCTGTTCTTGGAGAAAAGGACAAACTAATTCACTGTGTCTTATCTCTAGTCTTTCAGAAAGAAATTTGCTCCTGAAAACAGTTTTACATAACAAAGAAAAATACTTTTATTCCAGAAAGGCGTGGACTTTATATCATCATTTCTGATGAAAAAACTGGGGCATGGAGTCCTGAGTACTGGGTTATGGTGTTGCCCAGTTGTTCCTGGTAGAAGGTGCCAGCAGGGTCTTCAGCTGCTATAGACACAGCGTAGACAGCTGCCAAGTCCAGGCACTAAGCCCGGAGTCAGAGACTATCAGTGGTGCCACCTGGTGTTTTTTGGCATTGAGTATCCTTGTGTTAGGAAGGAAGAGGCAGTGATCACTAGAAAAACCTGTGGGAGAACATGGGAAATGAGGACTCTGGTTCATTTGCAAAGAGATAAGGCATGTCCTTGTCCTTTTAGAATATTCTGATACAGAGAATAGTGCTGGCCCCACACATAGCCCAGCCATTAACCTTCTAAGTGTCCTTGGGTGGCAGTGATCCTTCTGTTTGCATTAGTTCTTGGATTGTCTAGTTCTGATCTTCAAGGTCTTGGATCCAGTCCCCACAAGCAAGGAGTAGCCTCCTTCCATTCATCAAGGAAAAGATGAATGGAAGTTTGTTCCAGTCTACAATTCCACAGAGACCATATTGGGCTTTAATTGTTTCATGGAATGCTACTTGTAGTGAGGGGAGCTGCTCAAGGACACAGGATCTACTGGGATCTGGGTGACCGGACTGTGGAGCAGGAACCAGACTCTGAGTGGCTGGCTGCCAGGACACTATGTCTACCACAGGTTTTTGAACCCCAAAGGTGGTGATGAGGTTGCTGACTACCAAGGTGATGAATTTGAATGTAGCCAAGGTTTTAAGTCTAACCTGTCACTCTTAACCAGGTTGTTGAGGTCAAACTTTAGGAGAAAGATGAGGAACACACCCACTCAGATCTGCAGCACCATCAGAGACAAAGATGAACACCATGAGGGACACAAACCCGGAGAAGACATGAACCTGCTGCACTTCAACCTTGAGACAGCATGCCATGCAGCAAGTCCTCAGCCATGCTTTTCTTGTATTCTGGTTCACATTGTTCTTTTGGTGTATCTGAATTCAGCCTGTCAAGCACAGGTACAGATCAGTTTTGAGCTCCTACTCTTAGGTGCCAGACTCCAAGGTACAACAGCCCCATCCCCATCATGGTCCTAAGCACATCAGGGAATCAGCTTCCACATTCCCAGCTGTATACCTGCAGGAACTAATCTTTGACACATACAGGGAAATTACTATACTGGCTTTGTTTTAATTTGTAAACACAATATTCTTATACTGTTCACTAAGTAAAATAGTTCTAGAAAGTACAAATCTTAATAATCCAAGGAAACCATTTAAACAAAATATAGGGACATAGATATGTCATAATATCTTTTATAAAATTACCTAAATTTCACTTCTTCAATAATTATTTCTCATTTTCTTTGTGGAAGGTGGCCTAAAACAAGGGTGTCTTTACAAAGAATATGTTCCAGGCAAGCTTCCTTGCTTTGGAATTTTGAGAAATAGAAAATGGCAACATTCTTTCTAGTTAAGGAAGAAAATAATGAAAAATTGTTAACAAAGGTTTCTGTCCCACAGCTGTTCAATCCCAAAGAAACACACAGAAGCCTACATTAATTATAAACTGGTTGGCCAATTAGCTCAGGCTTCTTGTTAATTAACTCTTACATCTTACATTAACCCATAATTCTTGTCTGTGTTAGTCATGTGACTTGATACCTTTATCAGTGAGGCATTCTCATCTTGCTTCCTCAAGCCTGGTTGACGATTGCAGATTGAGCCTTGTCTCTTCCCAGAATTCTCCTATTCTGGTCGCCTGCCTATACTTCCTGCCTGGCTACTGGCCAATCAGCATTTTATTAAACCAG